TGGTTGTTCAATAATGACATTCATGCAGAGCAAAATTAATTATACAGAAAGTTAATTAATCTTGTATAAATGTATACAATTCTAATCTAATTCAAGCAACCCCATCCAATTAATAAGCAATATTTTAGAGTATATAGTGAAAAGATCTATACATCTATCCTTAAATTATGAATCGTTACTCAATAAAACCTATTTCTATCGTTGGTTTAGATATTTTTTTTAAAGTATATATTATGATCTAGAGCAATGTTTCCTACAACAAGCGTTACCTGATTATTGCCTCAATGCAAAGAAGATTTTCAGTAAATTCAACATTCATTGAAACTAAGCTTACCGATGTGAAAGTTTTCAATATATATGAATTCATTGTCTTACATGTTTTTTTTTTTCTGAAAAAAACGTACAGCAGTTAAATCTACATTATGAAAAAAATTTGAAATCGCAATAATCATGCTATAATGATGCAATGTTGCTACAAAAATCTTCTATGCTCTCTCTCTCTCTCTCTCTTTCTATGTTTCATTAACGAAAGTTCATAGAATAAACTAAAGAAAAAAACAAGAAGACTTCTTGTGTTTATAACACTTATAATATCTAAACTATGCATAAAACCAAAAAGATAAATAGAGAGAGAGAGAAAGAGAAAAGAAGAACCGGATAAACAGAATTAAAAACGAGAACAGGATGCTTCACCACACCAGATGATAACATCAGATAATAGTAGTTTGTGAGATCAACAGTGGCACGTTCAACTTTATCAGGAAGAAAACAAACTCGACACATCTCTTTAAGAAACAAACACGAAAAGAAAATAATATTTGAATAATAAAAAAGAAGACACAAATGAAAGTGCAAAATCGGCCTCGATCACATCAAGGTTTCCGTCTTTTTTTGCTAACCACTAAATAGGTAAACATACACACCATGATTTGATCCGACTTGACTAGCTCATCACATGTTTGAAGTAAACAAAAAAAAGGATATAAGCAAAAGGTAAGAAGACACGAGAAATTGATTGTATCGAAAACAGACAAAGGATGAACAGAAAGAGAAAAGAATCATGGAAAGAAAAATAAAAATAAAACGATCAACTGCTTCGTCTTTATCAAAAAAAAAAAAACAAACTTTTTAAAAAAAATGTTTTAATTACAATAACAGTTGTAGGACACAACATTAATATTATTTATTTGTATTATAATTGTACTTGCCGTTTTCATTATAATCGCAACGAAGTCGTTTATTGGCTAAAAGAAAAAAAGAATCTTGTTTTTCACTTGATATATTTGTTTTGTTTTGCATCTTACTTGGTGGTGGTAACGTTTCAATATCAATATCTGAATCATCATCGTCACTCGATCGACGAACAGATGAATTCGTATTATTGGATGGAACAGGTGTTGATGATGAAGATGATGGTGGTGGAGTTAAATCGACGGAATGTTGTCGAGCAACCGGTATAAGTGATACGAAAGCGCTAGGTGATTGATTTGGGTTGACTAGTAATGGTGTTGTCGATGATGGGGATGGTGTTGAATATGATCGCAGTGAAGAGATTGTATTTAATGCATTTGGTAATACTGGAACCGTCGAATGATAAATTGATGGTACTGCTGATGATGGTGGCGGTGGTGGTGGCGGCGGCGGGGGTAATATAGGACCATAATCAAAACGATGTTGATAAAGTTCTGCAAGAAATGGAAAAGCAGCAATATGATGAAAATTTCCCATTGAACCAACAAATCGTTGCATCTGTTGAGAAAAGGCATTTGGTTCACGCATTTGTGATAAATGTTTTGAACAAAAACCATGTCGTTGGGATTCTTTTTGACATTGATCGATACCACATAAGCGACGCCATTGTTTTCCATTAAATTTTTTACGTATTCCCGTACTACTTAAAAATAGAAAGAAAATAATTAAAGAAAAAACAAAATAAGGAAATAATTATTCTTTTACCTCATTGTAAATATATCTCCTTTTTTTATTCCTTGTAATTTATTAGATGCTTGTTCGTGTTTTTGTAATTCTCTTTCGACTTCTTCATCATCTTCATCTTTATTTTCAATTGGTGGTGTTGGAAATGCTATTTTTTGTTGTTCATCATTATTATTATTCGATGATAATTCAACTGATATTGGTCGAAACATAGTTGACAGAGGTAAATTTTCACGATAAAGACGTAATTCTTCATGCCATGGTTCAATTAATAAACGAATATTTTGTCTTGTGAACCATATATCTTCTTTATCATTTTCATCTTGATTTATTTCATCATAATTATTATGTGAATCATTTAATTCAATTGAAAATTCTAAACGTGTTGGATGTTTAGCTCGTATTCGACCACATTGAAATTGATTTAATTTACTAGTTTTTATTCGACGAACACAGACTTGTGTATTGATAACAAGATCTTGACATGCAGGAATATTATCAATTATAATTGATGGTAAATGATTACATATTGGTTGTGATAAATCAACAGTAAGCGTTGATGATTGTTGATCACGAAGTGATATTGTAATAAGATGAGAATCAATTATGTCAAGAATAGTACCCATATGATATATGTTTAGATTTTGATTATCAAGAACAAGTACACTCTGATGACGCCATTGACTTGCGTCTAATGTGAAAGGTGCTATTGATAATGGTGAAGGCGTTGATGAACAACTTCGTTGTTGCCAACGTTTTTTGGGTGGTGACACCTCATCGCACGCCATTTAGTGTACGTCTAAAATAAATAAAAAATAACAAAATAAATATTTTCCTACTCAAAATACAAGACATGTAGTATGATTATTATTATTCTTTTTCTTTGCAATTCGAAAGGATAAAAACATGGGTGTGGGTATGTGCATGGAATTTGCTGATGAAAACAGTTTTTTAATGACGTACACCAAACAGAAACTTTGTTTTTGTTATTTTTCGTCTGCTTTTTTTTTTTTCTTCACTTACTATTGCCTCTCTAATGTTGTACGCAAAGGAATTTTTCAGCTGTTTATTATCAATGGAACGTGCATGATTCAGCCAGCAACTTTTTTTGTGGGGAAAAAGCTAAATCATGTGCATACAAAAATTTAGGAAGAAGAAAGAAGAATGTATCTTACAAAGTACTTCGAAGAAAATAGGTTGAAAGCATACTGATAAATAATAAATAAAAAGAAGAAGAGAAATTTTAAAAAAAATAGATACGTCGATTTGAATAGAAAGGAAAGAAAAAGAAAGTGAAAGCAAGCAATTGCATTCATCAGCTGACGTTACTTATTTTCCTTTTTCTTTCTATCTCGATTCATCTATGCAAATGTATTATTCTTATTCTTATTATTGTTTTTGTCCGAAAATGAGTTGTGTTTTTTTCGTCTATGGTGCTCAATAAGCACACATACACAACTTTCGCACTACAAAGCGTACGATGAAACAGTCGTACAATGAAAACAACATATGTCTGTATCGTTTCATCTGACATACATTCTCGTATAGAAAACAGATGTTACTATGTGCATAACAAAACCAGTCCTCTTCCTACTTACTTGAGCGACAATGAATAAGAGAAAGAGACGGACGAAGAAGAAAACGAGATTGACAACAATATTGGGAAAAATGACTATTTTTTCAATATTTTTGTTTTTTCTGAATGCAAAAGAAAGCTTTTCAAAAAAAAAACAAAAAGAAAAACAGACGTCCATATAGAACACATTACTCATCTCTTCAGTTTACGAGAGTACAACTACAATAATAATAAAAGCGCAAATGAAGTACAAAGATGTGCATGCATGAAAGAAAAAAGAAGTGCGAATTGAGAATAAAAGTGCATATTATACAGTCAATAGTATTTTTTACTTTTGTCGCGTAAAAGACAAAACCATCAGAATAGTTTCAAACATTACACAAGAGTACAAAAGCTACTAATGGTATTCTTATCATAATTGCACGTGTACTAAGTTATGATTAAATGGAGTAATAAATATATACAAGCAATCAGGTGACAGTGTTCTACATCGAAAATATCATATATGAAATTGATCAATTTATTCTAAAGCCCTTACCACTAAGTTTATCGCAATTAATAAAAAACGTTTATGTAGAAAAAAAAAAGAAGCAGAGTGAAAGTAAATAACCGCAAGGAATATTCCATCATTTTATCTAGAAAACACTTTAAAAATGACTATGAAGCTCAATAATAAAGCATAGTAGTAAAGATACCCCTATTTATAGAGTACAGGCGCCTGATGACGAAACCAGACGAAAGAAAAAAAGCAAAAAAAAAACAAGCGAGAAAAAAACGACTGCGGTAACGTATAAATGTCTTTCTCCTTCTCAGTTTCTCTTTTTTCTCTTTCACGCACCCTCAGTATGATCAACTCTCGGGGTGTTTTTTATGTTTTTTCTCTCGTCGTCGCTTTTTTTGCCACATCTTCTTTGCATTCTATCTTGCTTCTTTGACATAAACACAAAGACACAAACTCAGTTCGTGGACACACTGCAAGTTGCGCAAGGATATGTGTATGTTATATAGCGAGTGGATTCTTTGATTTACACATACACACGTAGTTGCGTACGTACGCACTGTTAGTGATTACGTTCTTTTTTTCGATTTTCTTTCGTTCCTACATCCTTTTCTTTCTTGTTGTCGATACCATGTTGTTGTTAATAGCACAGTGATGTGTACGTGACAGAGAAATGCTACATATCATTGCATGATTAAAACTATGTTTTTTTTTCTTGCTGTCAAAGTGTAATACATGTTTGTCTGTGTGTATATATACATATATACATAAGTCTCATATATAAAAGATTTACCTTTAGATATGAGTAATTCATCATTGTATTTATGTGATGAAATTTACATTGATATGTATATAGAATTTTCTATTTCGATTGCCATTTTTGCCTAATAGAAAAAATATTCATCTAAAAAAAGATTTATTGAAATAAAAAAAAACAATAAAACAGAAAAAACAAAACAAAAATGAAAAGAGAATTGAAATTTGTATGGTTTAGTTTTTTTTATTTGTTATAAATAATTCAATTAATTCATTTCGACATGGTGTATTTTCAATTTGATGAAATTCATTCTCAATAGAATCATTCCAATGATTTGATTTTGTGAAATCAAACTAAAGAAAAAATTCAAAGAAACAAACAAAAAAATAAATATCTTTACATGATAAAATATCAACATACTTGACTGATAATTTTATATAAAATTCCATATAATGAATGGTTTATTGTTTCAGAAAGAAATAACATATCTTCTTTCGATTGACAATGATCAAGATCAAGAATATATTTGCATGGTAAAAAGAATATATTTTCTATAATACAAAATTTTTAAATTTAACCACTTAAGAGACCTTTCAATTACCTGTAGATAGATAATTAACACCTTCGAAATCAATTTTTAAATTTCTCATTTGTGCTGAATGAATAAGTAACACATTTGAAGTACCTAAATATAATCAATAATAAGACGTGTTTTTTTAAAATAAGCTAAAATCAGATTTATCAAGAGCAATCACACATAGTAAACAAAGCCACAACCAACATAATCATTATATATATGAAATACTTACTGATTATTAAAAAGAAGTAGCTTTAAGATATAATAACATATATATATATATAAGATTTTCATATGAATAAAAATAAAATAAAAATAATACCTGAAATTTGACATTGACCAAATATTCCAATAGCTTGTTTTGATTTAAATTGCTCAAATGATGACCATAATTTATCAAAAGAATTTATAAATATTATATTCGGATTTAAATAAACAAAACGATCAACATTTAATATCGTCTAAAAATATTTTTTCGATTGTTATTATCTTCAAATTATTATTTCACGAATATCTTTTTTTTTATTTCACCGACAGTTATCTGAACTTTAGTCTTTCTATTCTATTTATAAAGAAACTTAGTAAAGGAAGAAGACATTTCCTTGTTTGAATTTAATGACAGACAAATACTGTGTGTTTCGTAGTGACATATTTCTTTTTTAATAACGTCATTCTATTGTAAAGCAAGTTCCGACTTGCTCTTCTAGACTATAGAGGAAACACGCTTTACAATTCGAAAAGAATTCAACATACCGATAATTGAAGCGGATGCTTTATCGTCGCGTTGTAATATGTTATTGAGTAGTACATTGATTCAATCTAAATATAATTTATTTAATTATAGATTTTCTTTTCGATATTTCTACTTGTTTAGAAAAATAATTTTGAGCCTTATTGTCAGTTATAATAACATGTAAATGTATTTGATAAGTTTTATTTGAAGAAAATATCATAAGAGATTTAAGAAGAATATATGATTGTTCAATAAAATTCCAATTATTATTAAATATCAAAGCAATATGAAATAGATTTTTTAATGAATAATTTAATGATGATATTTCTTTTGATAAATGTTTTGTAAATAATTCTTGAGATTTACCACAATTGGTTAATGAATAATTTTTTAAATTATTCATTATTTCTATTAATAATGAGTTTTTTAAATTTGAATCGAATTTCCAATTATGAATAACTTGATAAATAGATTTAAATTCTTGATATTTATCATTATGAAATGCACTACGACAGCCATGAATTATTTTAATACCATATAATTTAGCCATTTGACAATTATTTTCATAAATACAATGATCAGGTCGATAATTCCAATCACAACTAAATTCATAGATTTGTTCTAGAATATTCAGGAAAAAAAGAGAAATATGAGCTTACATTTGTTTTATTTAAACCAAAGAAGATTTACCTGGGTAATAACTAAAATAAATATTTAATAAACATTGATCACCCCAAGTTATGTTTAAATGAAATTTATCAAAAATAGTCATTAACTTAGAAACCATGTTCATTTGACGCATACGTGTTAAATTCATTAACATTACACCAGAATTGAGTCCTGTGTAAATTAAATATAAATTTGTATTACTACTATGAAATCAACTGATGAAGAGTAGGAGGATATGACTGTTTATTATTTTCAATATAGATGTATAGTTAAAAAGAAACATTAATTATTTTCAAAAATCTATAGTTAAGTACTAATATAAACGAATTGCTGAATGAAGCACTACACTGTAGACAATATTAATATTTCCTTTTTCGTTTGACCCGATGATGCTAAAACATTTAATAGAAATTTTTCATTCAATTCTTTTGTAAATTAGCTACATGCGTTAATATATTCCACATTGAATACAAAACGAAAAACACAAGGTAGTTTTTTTGTTTCTCATATTTTTCATTCTGTACTTCCGTTTTTCACGGTTCTCATGACCGACCAATTGCAAAAATATTTTCAATTTACCAGTCAACTCAAGCTAGTTTAAATGAACTTCCTTATAAAATCAAAGTTCTCGAATGTTTTCGGATGTGAAAGAAACTAAAACTTCGACAGAAAGTCTTTTTATTCCATTTTCTAAAAGACACAAAACAAAAAATCATAAAATGTTTTGTGAATTTTTCTTCGCAGAAAATGTCTTCATATAAAAAAATCTTCCCGAAATAATGATAAGACTCTTTAAACTTTCTATCTGCTAAAATTTTTCATGAAAGTTTAAAATGCTTTGCTTTTGGAAGCTTTCTCATGAAGATTTATTCTGAGCTATGAAGCAAAAATATTCCTATTCAGCTTTCTAATGAGATTAGATTATCGGAGCATAGTATAAAAATACGGAAGAAAGAATTGATCAATAGTTTTTCTTAATGATCACGTTATAGTCTATGATTTATTCTTAGTTAACATCCCCCCTTGTTTTTTTTTTCAATGAAAAAATCAAAGCGAAGTTCATATTTTACTAAAAATCACACATGAATTCTTTCATCAATGGTGAAATAAAGAAAAAAAAAAGATTTCGTAATTTCATCGTACTAAAATATTTATGATAAATTGTTTTTATACCCTACCCATTGACCCATAGTATGGATGACGTGCAAATCGATTATACCATCCCATAGATGGATCTTCATGTTCGGGTGTCAATGCAGCTAATTGAGTTGAATTAAATTTTCGAAAAAAACGCCATAAACTTCTTACATTACTTAAAAATAAAATATCCGTATCAATATAAATTACTGAGTCAATACTTGTCAGTATATCCTAAAAACGAGAAAAACAAAACCAAGAAATTCAATATTTTATTTATACATCTATATATATTTAACGAACTGGAATAAATAAACGTTGAGTACAACATGGTTTAAATAGTTTTCTCCATCGTTCATCATTTCCACGTGTAAATTGAATTTGATAAAACTCAATTTGAAATTTTGATTTATATTCAATAGGCCATTCTGAATTAATCTTTAAATTCAGAATTATATTAATTGAAATAAAACGAACAAAAAAGTCAAATTAATATATTACTTTTTCTGTAAATTGTTCTCTTAAATGATCTTCAGTAAAAACATGAAAAATAATTGGTGATGGTGTAAAAATTAATGATGATTTCAATGCATTAAGTGCTTCTTCAAGTCTAACAAAAATAAATAAAATAGATGTGAAAATAAAAATCTCATTGTTTTCCATTTATTTTATACCTATCACCACATACAACAATTGTTAAATGTATTGGTCTAAGTGCAAAGATTTCCGTATTTAAAACAATTAATAAAATTAAATGATTCAAATTCATCTACGAACAAATAATATTCATCAATCTCATTTTTTTTTTCATCTTATTGCATCAAAACACAAAAGTAAAATCTCTACAAAACACTTATACACAAAAAAAAAAATAGTCATTCGAAAGACAATAAACAAAGATAACACATAAAATACCAAAACAAAAGTATACAGTAGTAGTCAAAAGTTTATTTTCTGTCCCATCTCAATAGCCATACTTGTTAGAGATCTAAGAATTTGTATGTGCATACTAAATACCAATAAATGTAGGTAAGAGGTAAGATGTCGGTTAGATTGATTAAGTTTAAAGCGAGTTATGAACGGATGACATTTATTAATGCTTTGAGCTTTTCAATTTGACAAGGCTCTCTATTTAGTTTAGCTTCGGCTTTTATTAAATGTGTGACTAATGCTTGTTATGTTGACATGACATTAGAGTTTAGTTTATGATCTTTTGTTGTTAAACGACTCTGTATTCTTAGAATTCAGAAATTTTTTTTTTATTACCTAGAAAAATCATTTCTGAAAAATGCAAGTAATAATGTTGAACTTTAAGAAAAGTTTATCTCAAAGTTTACTTTCAATTTGTTATAGTACTACAAACTAAATTAAAGTCTCAAGAGAAGAGCGGCTCATTTTTCTTCATATTAATGGTTACAGTAAAATGTCTTTCAGTTCTACAAAAAGTTGATGAACTTTAATGAATTCAAAAACATGGATAACTTAAATATGGGAATATATATTGAAGAATTGGCAAGTTCATAAAGCTTTTCCTTTCTACATTTATAAATGTCAATAGAAAAATAAATAAACAGCTTGTTATCATCAATCATAATTCTATCTGTATGTGATTAATCGAAATAAAATCATGTCTTTGGACTACATTCTTAACAAATTATATGTACATAAATTTTCAGATTTCTAATACTTATATTAGCTAAGATTTGGCAAGAAACAAACTGTTATTCACTACTGTACGTATAAAATAATGTACTTCTATTCTCTCACAAGATTAAATTTTGCTTTTGTTTTTGTTTTTTCGTAGAAAATTGGAAGAAAAAGATACACACATACACACACACACGCACACATATATATATATATATATGTATATATACTAATGAATGAATTTTGCATTTAAAATGACTAGGATGATGAAAAATCAAAAGTAATCATTTCTAAAACTGATATTGAAAAATACGGTAATGAACAAAGTGGTTCATTATTAAACGTTTCACAATGAGCTGTGCGACCTTCACATAATGATGCATCAATAGATAAACCGTCACCATTACTAAAATGAAATACAAAATGAAAAATTTTTATATTTTGTTTTTCATTCATTTATTTATTGTTTACCCTCCGCCAATAATTAATTTTTCATTATTAACAAATAAGAAAAGTTCTCTTTTAACTTTATATTGACGATTATCATTCTCTTGTTGTTGTCCAACCCAAGGATATTTTATTTGTTTTGGTGCAAGTGTAAATAAATATGATTCACCAAATCCAAAATATGTTTTATTATGACGATCAGACCAAAGACCAGCACAAAATGCACCAAATATCTATTTGAATAGAAGAAAAAGAACAAAATTATAAGTAGAAGTATTTTACAAGACAAATGATCTTTTCTTATTCATGTTTTCAAATTCTCAAAATGAATCAGAAGAAAAAGACAAAAATGTTCTCACTTCTATTAAAGAAAAACAAAAACAAAAAAAATTAACCTCGCCATTAGTTGTTTTAATAATTAATATTGAATATTCAATATCATCGATTTTTTCTAATAAAGTTTGTAAACGAAATCCATGTTCTTGAGTTGTAAAAACTAGAACAGGTTGAGAAAGGCTAAGACGAGCAGGTAGCCAATTCCATAGAGTAACAAACTAAAAACAACAAAATATTAAAATTTCTTTCTTATTTTTAAATAATCTAATAAATACTTGTTGATAATCCAGTATGGATGTATTTGGTATTCGTGTAAGATGTTGAGGAGTAATAAAAATTGACTGTCGTTCACTCATATTTCCATGAATAATATTCGAATTATTATTATTAGTATTAATATTACTATTAGATTGATCCATATCATCTGTTCGAGGAAAATAACGAGTTGTATGTAATAATTTTTCCTCATGCTCAATTAATTGTTCTATTGTACTTCGTTTTAAATTTCGAATATGAAATGCAACCTAAAAAAAAAATTACTCTCGCAATTAACAATCTTCAAGTACTACTAATTATCACATTAATTTCATGATTGCAAATTAAAATTCATTTTTTTTTTCTAACATAGTCAGTGTAAATTACTTGCTGAAAAAGAACCAAATCTTAGACTCAATATAGATAGTTGATTTGATTAATAAAATGATATTATCAGGTGTACAAATGACAGTCTTTAAATGTTAATGACATTATATTATTTTAAATTCTGTCTCTATAAAGAAATTTATTCTATGTTCTTCTTCTAATTAAGAAAATGACGGCCTTTTCATTATAAAATTACTTAGAGATCTGCTCATGTTTCATGTATCATAGTCATTACTTTATATGAATTACTTACATGTAATAGATGTTCAATAGATACAGGAATTTGTTGGCAAAACTCTGCCATATTTTGAATTTTTCCACTCGATTCGTGTTTAACAGCTAGATAATAATAATAAAAATAAAAGCATGATATTTAATAATCAATTCATGAAAACAATAGCAAAATCTCAAAATAAAATAATATCCCTCTAAAATCCCCTTTTTCCCTTTTCAAAGCATTAAATAAAAATAATATCGTTAGTACTCATGCATTTTCTAAAATGCATTAATGTTAGTATTAAATATGTTATTTCAATACATTATGATGTGTAGACTGTAGAATATTGTTTAAAAAAAATAAAAAAAAAAAATAAATAAAATAAGCATATATTTTGAAAGTGCAAATATAGGAAACAAATGTGAATATTTACACAAACAATTGTACGACTGAGGTTCTACAAAATGACATGGTATAGTAAGAAAAAACAAAAAGCAACTGTTGATTTTTTTTTTGCTTCTTTTTTTTTTGTTTTTTAAGTAATTCTTTTACATACTTTTAATAAATAGATGAACAAGTGCTAAACTAATACGATATAAAACTTTTGGACCTTCAAGAAAGAAACAATCCATGATTTTTACCTAAATATAAAAAATAATAAATTCAGTAAAAAAAGAAATCAATAAATAAATAGATTTTTTATACAAGATAAGAAAATGGTAGATAACGAAATATCCACCAAAACCATTCTTGATAAAATACTTTTGTATTTGTATAGCGTAATTCAATAGTATCGGCTGTTGATTTCTATTAGAATAAATTCAATTATTTCTTTTTTTTAATATCTAACTTACATAATATATTTTTAATAATTTTTTAAATACATTACAATTAGCTTCCCATTGTAAACGTGTTTCACCACATAACCAATGTTTAATTAATAAACGATTAATCAAATATAATACTTCATGTTCATTAAAATAATGTAAAAGTAAAGCTGATAATGGTTCTAATGCTGGACAATAAGTTAAATCTGGATGATTTAAAGCAAATGTAAATAAAATATGTTGTAATAATAAACATCCTCTTGATTCTGTTAAATGATAAAAACATAAATTAGTTGTTTCAACAAAATTTGGCCATTGACTTAATTTTGACGGTAATGAATGTAAAGTACTATCAATTGTTATCGTTGATGTTGATATAGGTGTTTGTGATGCATTATGAGTATTGTAATGTTGTTTTGCAGTACTAACTCGATTTAATGTTAATATATTCATCCATAATTGTCGGCGAATAAGATGATCAATTGGCCATATTGTTGAACGTATTATTGATTTAAGACGATTAAAATCATCATCGGATACAGCTTGGGATGATATATTAATAGATGGATCGATTGAATTTAAAAAATGATTACTTGTATTATTTGAGGAAAGAAGATCAATAAGATCTTTAGATTTGGAATTATGTTGATGTTGTTGTTGGTGGTGGTGAGATAGTTGTTTTTGTAATTGAGCTATCGTATCGTCAGCAATAACATCATTATTGAATGGGTGGCTATTGCCATCCGCCATTCAAACATCTAGCTCGGTTCAAATGAGCCTGAAATAGATAAGAAAAAACATAGAAAGATTCTGAAGCCTAATATAACTAACGACCATGTCATTCTTTTTTTCCTTTTTTGTTCTCCTCTGCCTTTTTTTTTTTGCTTTCCCATTTTTGTTTATCAGATAAGTGTGACAAAAACTTGCATTTCTTTCTCACTCACTCATTTTCCCTCACTCTCTCGTATTCTCTCTGGTCCTATGCTGTCGAAAGTCAAGTAGTTGAGTAAGCTAGAATGATCGATCGACACAAAAGAAAAACGCGAGAGAAAATGCAAAAAAAAGAAGTTCTTCTATGACGCATCTTGTATACATGAGCTTTCATCGAATTTTTCCTTTCGTTTTTTTTTTTTATTTATTGTTCTATCTATTGTTGAACATTTGTATGTTATGATGTCGAGTGAATCAATTTAGCCATGCATACTACTTTTCACATCGTTTAACAATCATTGTATCCATATACGCTTGAAGATTTTCCCCTATGTCTCAAGGACAAAAGTAATACTTCGTTATTTTCTCATGTAAGATAAGAGAAAAAAAGAAAAAAAAGTTGAAGAAAGAGAACAAGACGGCTGAGAACGGGAAACAATATATTTATATATCTATATAGAAGAGGACCGCATAGAGACACAAAGAACGAATCGGAGGATGCAATTACTACCTTCTTTTCTTTCTATTTTTTCTTTTCTTTTTGGGTTCTTTCTCTTGAGTTTCAACTCACACAATAGATGATAGAAAAGTCTCTTTAGTCAAAAAACAAGATCAATTCTATTTGACACAACTAATCTATATAGCATATTAATTAGGTAATTTACCACTGATTTGTTTTGAAAAAATAATCTGATGTTCTAAGCTGTTGACAACACATTGATTTAAAGAAAAACTGCGACGAAACATAATACTGTTAAATAAACAACGAATAGTATCTGAAATATAGAAAAAAAAACAAAAAAATGTTAATTAATGTTATTTTTTCATAAACACAAATCAGATTAATCTTCGTTATTCTTTTTTCTTTTATTAAAACAACAATAGCAACAGAATAGATATCACGATAGTAAAATGTTGAAAATACGAACAGTGCCATCATTCGAACAACCGGCTAATTGATATGATGACGATGATGATAATAATAATGGACGGAAACATAATTGATTCACAGTTAAATGAAAACCGAGTCTTGAAGGAATAAAAAAAAACAAAAAATTCAAATGTAATCAACATTCTATCGAATTATAGATTTTTTTTTTGTTCTCTGAATTATAAATATGTTAATAAATAGTGACAAATTCCAAGTGATTTTTTAGAGAACAAGTGAATCTTCTAAAAAGGGTTTGGGTGACCTTTTTAGTTCTTATTTACTGACTACATCTATAAAAAGAACTGAATTATTTGAAGAAACATTTGCAAAAAGATTGATTTATTTTTTTTCCGTTTATATAGAAACAATGATTCATCGAAAGCTTTGTTTTTTCTCGAGAATACAACTAACATTTTTTTTTTTTCTATCTAGAAATATGGGTAGTAGACCGATTTTTTCTTCATCAAACTATTGATAACTCCCTTGAGAAAATTCAATATTTGAAAAAAATGAATGTATTCAGAATAAATTTTATTATTATTTTTCTAGAATCAATAAATTTCCGTAATTCGAAAAAAAAGATTTTCATATTTAATATATTCTCTTCGATCCCTAATAAGTTACCAGGATTTTATTTCTAACATATTACGTACGAAAAAAAACAATCTAACGAACATGCAAATGTTAAAAATAGTTTCTTCGGAAGATAAGTATGAAGTAATCATAAGTATTTGCCTTAATAAACAAAAAAAAAAAAAAGAAGAATATTCCATGACTAGAATATCTTTAGTTCCATGAGAAATAATTCTATCAACGATGTAATGAGGAAAACAATGATATATAATTTCTCGAAAGAAATAAATATTACTTATTTTCATGGTTTTCTCTATCGACTACGATATTCCCTAATGAATAACTATTCAGCTTTTCTATTATACCAACTAACTAAGATCGATTGAATTATTTCATACTAAGAAATATAATGAACACAGGTGTTTTAATAATTTATTTAGACTAAACATGATTCCATCTTCGATTCTATTTTTAAATTTAATTAATAACAAATAGAATTGGTTTTTATTTTTAATCTAATAGCAAAAATGAAACTAACTCAATTTTTTTGTGCCTGGAAAAACTAATTATTTTATTTTATTTTTTTTTTTAATATCAAATTTTTTCTCACGGTGCTGCAATTAATGTTAAATATTGCCAAGACATTTGTTCGTTCCAAGTATAAAGTAAAACAGCACCGTTATCAAGTCCTGCTACTACAAAATATCTAAATTTATAAAAGAAAAAATTTATTTAAAAACAAAACAAATTGAAATCAAAAATATTTTTACAAACTTTTCATTTTCGATTAATCGAGATGCAAATGTAACGGCTGTAACAGAATCATTTAATTTTAAATATTTTTTTTCACAAGGATGTTCATTGTCATCATTACTCTTTTCATTAACACGCCATACATGTATGATTTGATCGCGTGCACCCGTTATAAAATATTTATCATCATGCGAAAAACTACATGTCCATATTATACGTTTATGATATGGATTATTACTAGATATGTGTTTATATAAATGAGCTTGAAAATCTATATAAGATAAGTGAAAATATAATGAAAGAAAAATAAGATGAAACATACTTGTTTCATCTATTTCAAATAATGACCAAGATCGATCACGTGATACAGATAATAAATATCGACCATTATTTGAAAAATTCATTCGAACAACTGTTAATTGATGTATAGCAAGACGAAGAATAGGTTTCCAAGTATTTGTATTCCATAATATAATTGCTGCATCAGTTTGTTTACTTGCCTAAAACATAATGTGAATTTATTAAAAAAATTACATTAAACATTTTCTAATATTGATCAATAGAATTAATTAATTCTTTTCTTTCCAACAAAAATAATATCTAAAATGGCTTGACAATCAACTAAAAGATATATAAGTTTTATAATCTCTGAGGATCAACCATACGCAGACAACAGATGGCAACCGCTATATAACTAAATGATCGTTCTTTTTATTGATTACTCTTGAATTTTTCAATGACGTCCTTCATAAATAATGAAAAAAAAATGCTCACCATAGTTCTCTTTGTTTATATATATATATATAAATATAGCTATGCTTTGTCTTCGTTTTTTAAACGCACGACTTCACAAACACATATTGACATGATAATAACGGATTTTGTATTTCAATAGAACAAAATCTATTATAGTGTCAATAAGATTAGTATACGGTATGCAAATTTATTTCATTAAAAAATAATTCGTTTTTTGAGATATTCTGATTATATATATATATATAGTAGTGAACAAAAATGTCCGTCCCCTCGAATTTCAGCAGTCGAAGACCTGACAACTTGTGCAAATATATTTTAGCAAAAATGTACGTTAGTGATACGACCTCATTCCAATTTCTTAGGCTCAAAGAGAATAATGATATATGGCACACTAGTACTGCTGTCAGCCTCATAACTCTAGAAAGATTGAACCTTGTGAGTCAATCAACACTATATTTTTTAGAGCTTTGTTTCAGCTATTTGCATTACTAATTTTATCTAAATTCATCAAGTGTTTTGAGAACTGTGGCCATTTACTGTAATCATGGATGTGAAGTAATACCATCTATTGCTCTCTATAGATCAATAATTCAGTGATAGTTCAATGTATCGAGATCACACTTTAAAGAAAGTTTTGCCTACAATAGAAAATGATTGCTTACAAGTTTCATAAGCAAACCTTGTATTTAAGAGAAATTGTATAACGATGATCATCATATTGGTGCGGAAAATTTAGAAACGCGAATATTTTAGCAAATTAACACATCTTTTGTGTGAATAAGATCATATACTCGATCTCATTTTCATGTAAAAATATCAAGAATCAATTCTGCACTTGACAAGAAACAACTCAAATTTTAGCAGGTATTGTTTTGACAGGTTATAGAGCTCACGACGAAACATTCCCAAGTGATTCGCTCTGTTTTGATTCATTCTATAGAGTATATTTAGATAAGAAAAAGGCCAAAAAGATTCTTACTCATGGTCTAGTAGTGAAGAGTTATGGTCATTTTACTGAAATTTTCACTGTGAGCCAGGCATTTCGCAAAAGAAACCAAAATGAAGAATTTCGAGCTGAAATTTTATCTATACATAGATTTAATAGTCATTATATAGTACTGAAACTTTTGACGAAAACGAACATGTCTTTCTCGAAATATTCAATGTCCAACTAAACTGAATTATTGTGGCCTTCTATGGTAAACAATTGGTTTTTTCTAAATTGAATAAATCGAGAAGGACATGCTCGTTTTCATTAAAACTTTCAGTACTATATAATGACTATTAAATCTATGTATAGATAGAATTTCAGCTCGAAATTCTTCATTTTGTTTTTTTTTGCAAAATGCCTAGCGCAGAGTAAAATGGCCATAACTCTTCACTACTAGGCCATGGGCACGAATCCTTTTGGGCTTTTTCTTATCTCAATATACTCTATAGAATGAGGTATGAATGAATCAAAACAGATCGAATCATTTGGGAATATTTCCTCGTCAGAGAAAAAAATAAATACTGTTCATCATAATTCTCTTTTTACTTAAGTAATCGATGCAAGATTTTATTGTTGATCTATATTCTTGCTAGAGTATGTGCACAAAAGTTTTCAGATCTTCAGCATATGTAATGGCTAAGATCCGATGAAGTAAAAACTTTTATTCGCATTATTGTATATATGAATACAAGTCGTATGTTTTTGAAGTGATTGTTGATAGTTAATTGAATGACCTACTTTACACGATGAAGCAATAATTGAACCAGATGGATTTGATGCAACCGCAATGATTTCATAACCATGTCCATAAAGTTTTTGAATTTCAGGCCAAAGTGTATTTTGTAAAAGATGTTCTTCAAATGGTGGTTCTTCAATAAAATGAATGTGTATTTTGTTTTTTTCCATAAGAATTTTTCTTTTTTTTTCTCTCTAACTTACCATTCAAAACAATAGCTTTAAAAAATCCTTCTTTATATAATCCATCAACAGTCATTGGATCATCATCCATTACTGTTGTTGTTGTTGTTGTTTGATTTTCATTATTATCGAAAATTGCTTTATTTGATAAACCTAATGCTGGTACATTAGCACCTTCAGGCAAAGATTGTGCTTTCTAAAACAAATATAAATAAAAGGATATATTCAGTAATAACAGAAAATATTTACTTGAATATCTTCATCAACATTAATTTTCGTTATACGAGCAAAATTTTCAAGAAAATTTTTTGGTGAATCAAATACACGCAAAATTTTTTCATCAGCACCAGATACAAAACGTTGTTGATTTGAACCAATAAAAGCTAAACATTTCATTTCATAACCATGAATTTGTGGTCGACCAATTTCATGCCATGAAGTTATCTTTCAAAAATAAAAGAAAAAAGAAAACTTTTAAATAATAGACGAAAAAATTTATTTACTCCATTTCGTTTCCATTCAGCATGTAAACGTGTTGTTTGATCTGTTGATACACTTAATAAATAACGACCACTATGTTTATCCCAACAACAATCTTCAACTGTATTAAAATGTCCACTATTAATTACTTGTGGAATTAAATTAATTCGGTCATCAATCTACAAAACAAAAAAAAAGAATTTTCTAGTCAACATAATAATAGAATTATTAATTCTACTTCTTCAATTTTCCATAAATGTAAAGCACCTTCATAACCATGACCAAGGATATATGAACCACATGGACTAAATGTACATCCATAAAAACCAAGTGTATTACCACCGATTTCACCAACACGAGCCTAATAAAATCATTAGAGCAAAAAAGAGTTGTTGTGTGTAAAAGCAAAAAAAAAAAGAATACAAAATGATTTTACTTTATCGATATACATTTTTTGATTGTCATCAAAAGTCCATAAAACCATTGATTTATCCATTGATGCTGATAAGCTTGTTGTTGCTGCCTNAATAATAAAGAATTTTTTAGTTTGGATTTATCTTTTGATAACGCAAGAAAACGGAAAAGTGTTGTTAAAACGTGTTTTTTCGGTAAAAATGCGAAATTGGGGCGTTTTTAACGATTTTGGTCACGTTTGCTTGAAAATAAACCGTAAAAACGATTTAAAACGGAGAAATTCAATGGTAAACACGTTTAAAGGGGTTTAAACGGTATAAACGCTTGATAGACGCGTTTAAACGCAGTTTTGACCGTTCATTGTCTGCCTGGGTAGTCGAGAAATAACCCAGATCTAAGAAAAACGACCAGTTTTAAGAATGAAGAAAGCAACAACAAAAACTATTGATAATAGAAAATCAAAGAGCACCTATGACTGTATCCAATTGAGTTTACAAAAATCTTTGCATAAATTTATCTTAGAAACCATAATATCTATAAGTATCCTATAATATCCCTTAAGCATTATAACTAATACATGAACTCTCAGTACTTAAAAATTTTCACAAAACTTGATTTTTTATATACCATTGAATACGCCACAAACTACTCTAGAAAATCACATACATTGTATGCTGGTTCAAGACAAGTCATCAAATCTGGCAAGTTCCTATATTTATTATCGTGAGAAACAAAGCCAACAACCTAAATTTTTTTTATTAAGTATTCTAATCAAGAGAATCTGGCGCATTAACGACATATGTCGATGTTTGTACATTTGGTTCATGTTGTCGATTAACATAAATAATTTCTTCTAAATATCGTCCAACATTAGAATCACTATGTCCAACAACAAGTGATGCATGATCAGTAATAAATTGTACATTGGCTAAAAATTGATCAAAACCAATACGAATAAATGGATCAAAACAAGATTGAGGAGCAAAGACGTTATATATTATTTCTCGATGATATAAATGTTGACGTGCATAAGATTCATCGTTATTTGAACTAGTTAAACCAACATGAGAATATTCTTGAATAGATTTCATTACTGTTGTATCATCAGTCATAACAAATATTGTTGTATAATTTATTTGACGACGTTTTTCTTGATCAACCACACCTTTAACATACATTGATATATTTCTCCATCGTTGATGTTTTTGCCAAAATGAATCTTCAGGCATTTTATCACCACGACGAATGAATATTACAGCCATTTTTGATAAAGCTTCATCATAAGGTTTATTATATTTATCAGATAAATATTCTGACCAATGATGAGCTAATAATTTTGCTAATGTTTGAATACGTGGAGCTAATTGAGAAAAAAATATAACAAACATATAACGAAGAAATGACGTGAAGATATGATCAGGTATTGTTAAATTAACTGTAGTACCTAAACGAAAAAGAAATGAAAAACAAAAATAAAAATAATCTCGAATATTTAATCAATAATAATGATTTAAAAATTGATTAATTGCAAATATTTTCTATTGTTTTAACTCATAAAAATATATATTAGACTCAATCGTGCACAAATACTCAACAGAAAAGACAATGGATATGTAGAACTATAGATTGTTTAACATGGTTTCAGATATCTCTAACAATGAAAGGCTGATGAAATAATAACTGATTAATATCTTGAATTCTTGTTACTAGAGTTTGTCAGGTTTGAATCGATATAGTTTGTTCTTAAATTGATTCGTATATGAGAAAAGTTCAATTGATTGAATCCGAAAATTTGATGTTGGGCTAACTTGATTTAGCACTAAAACAAGGTCAGCACCAGTCAAAATTTGAATACTAATCTAACATCATTAGTTATGTCTTTCATATTAGACAATAAGCATAAACATACTCATCTGGGATTATATCTACGATTATGTAATCATTCATTTGAAACACGATATAAGAGAATTGTTGAAGTATACGGGTAAAAATTTAAATCCAATCCTCCCTCTACAGACATGATAGACATTGTTGATATACGATCATAGACAGAATATCAATAATATCTCGGTATAATATATGAACTGTGTACTGTCTTATTAAATTTCTTGTCGATTGAATAAAAGAATGGTGAGCAAAAAAATTGACCTAAAATAGATAGAATAAAACAATTTCGCTGTGGTTAGCAATAGCAGCTACATTATGATTTACATTTTAATCGTTCAGCAATTGCTCTAACATCTTTTCTGTGGAACTCAGATTAGATTTTTCGAGGAAAATTATAGAAAGTGTAAGATTTAAGTCGAGGTTTTTGCGGCTTCCCTCTCACAAAAACAGGAATGAAAGATTGGAGACCAATGATTGAGTTTTGTCTAGCAAAGGGGGAGAAAAACCAACAGTTATTGCCTACGTTTTCATAATAATTGAGGTCAATCGGCATTATCAACAAGACCTCGACTGTTCTAAAACATGCAAAAGCCTTTCTCGGTATCTTAATGGCTGGAATACGTCGATGAATGTTCTAAATATTGTAGTTTTTCATTTTTATGCAAATGAAAATTTATATTTAAAATGTCAAGGATGATGGATAGTGATGCAATGATTCGCCATAATCGTCAAAACTAGCGCGAACTGTTGAAGCTATAACATTTGAAAATGATAAATATCAGTGTTGTAGAACTTATCAAGATATATCATAATGCGTTGAGACCTGCTGTAGATATAATAAATATATATAATAGGCTTATTTGTCAGTTAAATCAATGTTTAGAATAATAATAATAATGTCAAACTAAGAGAAATAGAATACGAAAATGAAAAACAATCAGCAAATAGCAATAGGGCAAACAAAACAAAAGAGTGCCAGTAAAAAAAGAAAGTAGAAAAATATTTTGGTCGAAATACACAAATAAATGTGATAGATTATTTACTTGGCGATCGATCATCCTTGGAAAAGAATTATCTTTCACTAAAAATTTTTCACCTTACAAATTTTGTGTCAATGTAATGAAGCTAAATAATACAGGTGAGTTCGATATTTTAAACCGCAAGGGGTTATACTGATAATTTGTTTTTCATAATTATGACAATTTTATATACTAAGGAATCATCTAAACTGTCATGTCGATTGCTATTACATATTAAATTACTGAAAATGCATCTACTGAAATGTTCAAGATAAATTAAATTTATCCCGTTTTACTTATAAATTTGTCAAACTACTGTCACTTTCATATGTTTCACCCTTTAATCCTTTTGTGTACACGTGTACGTGGAAAGGTGTGTTTCCTTTAACCACTCACATTAAAAAGGAATACAATAATCTGACAATTGTAAAATGAGTGTAAATATAAAATTAGAGCGAAATAAATTAGATTTCTCCTGAACCTATGCATCTGGCGATGACAATTGAATGTAATATGCCGCGTAAAAGTTTTTGAAAAAATGTCAAATTCTGCTATATCATATTGACGACTTTTAAATAACTCAATTTTTTTGCTCTTGTTAGAAAGAGCAATGTCTGAACTACAAATGATGTACGAAACATATTTTTTCAGAAAGAACCTGATGAAAAGGAAAAGCCCACAACTAAACGTTTCAAAAAGTTGTCATAATATCACTACCAAATAACAATATCTTTTTAATCAGAAGAAAAATGAAAACAAAAAATGCTTAATGTTAAATTTTTATAGCGTAAAGAGTGCTCTTTTCAATGATATGCTGGAAATTAAACTTACTCTTGATTTTTATATCAACCGATAACTTTTCCTAGAAAAAGGCTGAATAAGTTGATGATTCTTACTACGTGGCCATTTTGCAACAGTTAAAAAAATTTTTTTTTAATTATTTTTTCTGCTATATTTCTATAATCTAAAATATTTTAAATAAATAACGCAAAAGAAATTTAGTTCATGTATAATTTTTGGAGATGGTGGCTGATATACTTGTAAAATAATATTTCTTAGAAAAGAAAATATTTTACAAAAATTTCATTTTTCAAAGTTTTTTCTTATTATAGAGTCAAAAGCGTTTCTAGAACTTTTTTTTAGAGGTCGTTGGTTTTCTTTTTTATATATGGTTAAATAGAACGTCGCGAGCGGATCAAGAATATATCTCTGTCAATGACCTATTTTTATTGAAAAAGAGGTTAATGTTCGATAATCAACAAATTGTCAATTGTTTTAGGTTCTTTTTAAACTATAAAACTGATTGTTTCAGATTCAGTGTATGAAAAACTGAATCGGAAAAAATCATTTATAAGTGGTAGACATATATTTTTGATCAACTTGTGACGCTCTCTATGTGACCATATATAAAAAAAAGGAACAAGAAATCTGCTTTAATTTTACATTTTCAGCAGGTTACAAAGTTTATAGTTCAGACATTGCTTTTCGTAACAAAAAAAAGATTTGATTGATTTATAAATCGCTAATTCAACTTAGTATAACAAAGTTCCATATTTTTTCAAAAATTTTTACATGGCATATTAATTTTATTTAATTCAGATTTTAATAAATCGATTGAGTTCGACAAGAATTCCTCAAAGTCAAATATGGATTGTATTATTAAAAACTTTCAGCATGATTTTAAACAATGTATAAATCTTTGTAAGATTTTCTTTTTTCTTGTAACAATAAATCTCTAAACTAACCGGCTAGAACAGCTTTCGGTGGTCCTTGTGGTGAATTTCTTGGTACCCATTTAGTTAGATTAAATGATGAACCATTAAAATAATAAATATGTTCATTTAAATGATTAATAAGTAATGAAATAGGTGAATGATAATTAACAATTTTTTTAATTTCTTCTCTATTTCGATCAAATAACCATCTTCTATGTGGTACATGATCATAACCAAATTTCCAAATTTCTCTACTATATTTATATTTAACTGTTGATTCATCACGTTCAAATAATTCATCAATATTATTAATAATTTTTGTATTAGATGAACCATATGCAATAGATTGTGCACTATCATGAAGTGGTTTTAGTAGTGGATGATTTAAATACGATGAACACAATGATATTGATTGATAATAACGAAGTATACCTTCATTTTGAAAATCATCTGTTCCTGCATTTGATACAGCAAAGCGTCTAGGTAATAATAAAGCCATTGATGGTGAATATAATGTTTGCCCAAAATGTTCAATTAAACAATGATAACGACTAAAAAAACCCATTGGCCATTGTTCTAAAACAAACAATTGTCGAGTTAAACAAGTTGTAATATTATCATTAGGAAATTGTTTTTCTAATAAATAACTCAATGTTTCATATTGTGCTGCGTGATTCCAATGAACATCACCATATTCATCAAGCCATATAATTGGAATAGATGTAGAACGAAATTTTAATTCAGAATATTCAATTGGTTGCGTATAAGTATTTTTTTGTTCATGATCATTATTTTTATTAAAAAAAAACATTGATTGAGCAATATTATCAATTTGTAAATGATTATATTCAATAAATGAACGAGATTCTGAATAAAGACGAAAATCATGTGAGCGAATATTTGATGATACAGTTGAAGATAGAAAATTACTTGATATTTCAATTTTATTTTCTGATAAATTTTGATGAGAAAATATATAAATAAATATAATAAATGGAAATAAGAATACAATAAATATATATTTCGATTTACTCGATCGATAACGAAAGAAAAATCGTAACATTTTTATAATAAATAATGACAATTTAATGTGTACGTTTTGCCAAAATTGATTCTCTTATATGATCTAAAAAGCAAAAAGAAAAATTAAGCAAGAGATGAATAATATTTCGAGAATATTAATAAGGAAAATATGGTAGAAACGAATGACTTTTTTGAAAACTAAGAAAAAGAAAGGATTGTTTTTTTTTTTTTGGATTTTACAACTATAATGAGACATAAAAGTATTGGTAAGAATTAAAAGAGTAAAAAATATAAGCCTTTGTGTATTTCTATACAAACTGTTTTTTCAATGCTTATTTTATATTGTAGATTTATTTGCATTACTTCTCTCCTCCAGGTATACCATCAATAGATTATCGATCGAAAAGCAATCAGCCGTATATCGATGCTTCTTTTTTTACTACCAACAAATATCGCCGGTATAGTGCACCTTATACAGAATAGTTTACCTGGAGGTTTTCTATGGTTTGATTTACATGGATAATTGAAAAGAATTTTATACAAACTCAATGTAAAAAACGAATTTTTATCACTAAAATTATTGATCGTCTTCAATTACTTTTATTCCGAAATTTTGTATAATAAATTGTTGATAATATTATTTAAAATGAGAGAGTAAAAGATTTAATCATGAAAGTATCAGTTATTTGTTCCTTGAAGATAACTATGACAAGTCTCTTATACTTGTATGCAATGATCAATTTCCAAAGTAAATAATACAAATAGAATATTATTCACTCTATCCAATGAAGTTTCATGTCCAAGGAAAGTATAAGATATAATTTACAATAAGTTCATGTTAAAAAACTTGATGTGTTATACATAATTTTATTTTGACTATTATGATACAGATGGATTCTACTTCTTAAATTCAATTAAAGAAGAATTCTAAGAAGTATATTTTCTATTTTATTAAAATTAATATTATGCCTTAGATTATGAAATAGTTGTTTTAATTATCAATCTAAAATTATAATTAGTAAAACTATTATACATTTCAACATAAAAGAAGGTTGAATATTTTTAGAATAATTTTTGATAGGAATAAAATAGAGATCTTTGGTTTTCACTATTTAAAAGAGGAGATGAAATTGCATCGAATTGTATGAATCAAATTTTTCTTAAAACTTTTCTTAGAGTCTCCTGTTATATTTTGTAAAAAAGTAAGGCTTTTAAATAAGTTTTTAAGATAGTTTTTTCATTAAAAAATCTGAAAAACAGTCATTTTTTGTGAAAAATCTGTTGATAACACGTAGTGAAATATTTATCTAGTGTACTCCTGAAAATTAAAATCCTAAAACTTGTACATTAGACAATATTTTACTTTTAATTCAATTGATGGTAAATCTTAAGAAAACTTGTCAGAAAAGTTTCATCTACACGGTTCAATGAAGTTTCATCTCATCTTTTGGAAAATAACAAGCGCAAATTTATATCTTGTTTCAATCGAAAGTTATCACAAAAATACTCACCCTTCTTTTATTTTGAAATTCATAATAGTTCATTGATGTGTCAAAAGTTAGTAACAGAAGGTATCAATGTCACATACACTTCCTATGTAAAAATTACCGCAAGTATATCAATAAATATAATGTGCACTATATAGGCGGTTACTTTTTTGAAAGTACTATATCATAATGTATTGTATCGAAACGGGTGAATACTTTTGAAGTCTGTTAAAATTGAGAGAATAGATTTTTTTTTCCATGCATCCTGGCAATGTTGATGCGTTTTAGGCATGTATAATAACTACAGAGCCAAAATCGGTCCCAGTTATGAGATAAATTTTATTATAGATGGTTCTGGAAAACTTTTTAGTAGTACAATTATTCTCATATTGTTTTTCTTCTCAATTAATTTGAATTCTTTCTAGTAAACAGCTTGAATTTAGGTAGAAAAACATTCTCTGTAATCTGTCATAATTGGAAACCAACGGGGTAAACTTTGTCGCCGATTCTTATGAACACTGAGGAAGTGCAAACAAATGTGCGACATGGTTTATTGTCTAAATGAATGCCTTGTCGATGCTACCGCAATCAATTATTTACTTTTTATCATTTAGTGAACTAAGAATATTATTAATTATGCATTTCAAAAGAAAGTTGATTTAGTCACTATAGCGTTCGTATTCTTTTATAATGGGGGGGGGGGGGGGGGGGGGGGGGGGTTGTTTTCTTCTCTAATACAATAAAAAAAAAAAAAAAAAAAAAGAAATTTTTGTTCTTACTTAATTTTTGAATTGTTATTGAACGTATCCAATCTTCATGTCCACTTAATACAAAAACTTGTTCAATCTGTATAAATAAAATAAAATAAAGTTTAAAAAAGTATTTTTTCAAAATTATTTACTTTAACTCACTAACCACGCTGTTTGATACTTGATAAATTTGAACATTATTTTTATCCGTTGCAACAAACAATAAGAATACTAAAGTCAAACAAATATTTTCCGATCAAATTTTTGTTGAATAAAGAAAAACTTACAATTTTTATGATTATCTAATGGAACTAATTCCAATGTAATAGCAAAACCATTTTTAAAATCAATAGTATGAATACAATTAGCTAAAAGAAAACAACAAAATAACTTAAGAAAAGGTTCATATATCTGTATTTACATACCTAATGTATCAGTAATACACCAAATTTTCACTGTTGAATCAGCAGAACCACTAGCTACATAGATATCATCATTAGAAGATTGTTGATAACCAACAACAGTTGTCACACTATTCTGATGTCCAACAAGTGAAGTATACTTTGTATACTATTTTAGAAAAAAAATTAATGAATCTGTTTGTTTGTATCTACATAAATTATATGACATACATCTTCATCTTTTCCTTTCCATAAACTGATTGTTTTATCAACAGATGCACTGAGAAAATAATAAAAATCACTGTTTGAATCTATTGAAATAAAATAATAGAATTGTTGAAAAATACATTTTTGTTTTGTTTTCAACAGAACAAACCTCGTTGTTCTTGTCGAAGCCATTTCACACAATTTAATCGTCCTTGATGACCGGAAAATGTTTTACGTACAGAAAATGGAGGAGTCTATAATGAAAAAAGAATTTTAACAAAAAAAATTTGCAATAAAATATTTTTATTATACATCAGAACAAAGAGCTACGCTGTTTGTAACACCATAAATAAGTCGTGGTCCATTCTGCCAATCGAGTGAATGTGGACAACAGTTACATGCAGCACTTATGTAATCAACGTCGATCTTGATATCAGTAGTAACGTTTGCCATAGAAATCTAAAATATATTTATTTCACAAAATATCAACAACCGATGTCAACAATTCCATATGTCAAGTCAACGGCACCACACTACTAAGTAGCTAGCTGAACAAGATACTTAGCCGGCCGCGAAAGACACATTCTATTGGATGTCACATTGACTAATAGAACTTTTACAATAATAATTCCATCCATCCCTGTAGAGAAACATATACAAAACATGGCCATCTTAACTTTTACAACAACCAACGTCAATATATCTCTCTTAATCTCCAGCAAGGGTTACAAATGATGAGTTTTTGTTTCTCAATCAAATTATATTTTTTGCAATAATAATACATATGCAAATAAGCAACAAATTACAAAAATGAAATCAGTCGAAATTGTCGTCTAGTTGCGTGTAATTGAAATTACAAATATTACATCAAATAGATTTCAAAAGATGATGCAATGCTTATGAAAATAATTATATTCTAAATAGTTTCTTCTAGGATTTGTTATTTGCTAGTTTTCAATAACGAGTTTATCACAATATAAAATCTTCTTGGAAAATTGATAAAAATACGTTTCTTGATATTCATTCTCTAGTAATAGCCATAATAGTGCTGAATTGATAAGTGATAAGAACAGACTGAAAATTATTCATCAGATTAAAATGAGTAATAGTTTTTAACACTGTCCGTCAGATAAATGGCATGACTTATTCTATTCATGTGACAGCAAATGAAGGAAAAGAATCGAATCCAACCAATTATTTCTAGTATCGAATTTATTGACTAAATATAGTTGAACAAGAATGTAACTTGGAAGACCTGTTTCTTAAAAATAAAATGAAGTGTATAAAAGATTTATTTTTATTTAAGGCTTCTCTTTGTCTTAAACCTTGATCTTGGACCAACTATATTCAAACTTTTAGTCTACTACCATGACATTTTTCGAAGATGTTCAACATATAAAAGTTAAAAATAGTTCGTTTGGCAACTCAAAGTTTTCTGAGCGCCTTCATTCTGCATACTTAATTTTTTGTTTGTTTGAAAACAACATATCAGGATGCAGGGTATGACAAAGGTCTCTTTTAAATTCTTAGTGTTTAAGAAAAATGGATGAAAATTCAACATCTCCAAAAGCTCTCAAGAAAATGAAGCCTCAGTTATAAAAAAAATCTCTTTCATATAATAGAAACAGTGCTTAGTTCAAAATAGAGACTTTGCCTTGTCCTGCATCTTGATATACTCTTTCAAACAGAAGGATAAGCAGTTGGCTATAATAACCAGAGAAAAAACGAAAAATATTTCTTGCTTTTTCTGAAAACGGTATATTTTGCAAGCAAGAAGTGCCAAATAAGAAAACATGCCATTTATGAAAGTTCATGTTTCGTGGTATCCTCCGATGTATTTCTCTAGTTTTCGATAATTCTGATGAAAATTGACTTTCTTTTTGGAATACTTTAATTAGATGAATTTTCTTGAATAGTGGATATCATTGTTTCAATTCTGTCATGAAAACAGTCTTGATTTATGTGTTCAATTAAAATATATGAAATTCCCTAAAAATCTTCATTGTATACGAAATGATTATGCAACAATGATTAAAAATATTATTCAAATACGTGTATTTCATATGAAAAGAAGTCGAGGATAAAATTATATTTCGTTCAACTACAATATTATCAAAATCACATATAATGCTAGACTTTATACCAGATGCATTCTGATGAGTAAATTTAATGAAGAATCAAATCTGGACCATATGTGAAGAGAGCTAAAACTCTTCTTTGTTTACTTTTCTAATTTTTTTTTAAATTAGATATTTGTGATTTAGCTGATAACATTTATATAAGATTAATGATATGAAAAAATCATTATGCGGATATTCAATAATAATCAATTAGCAGCATGATAATATATAAGATCTCTCTTGTTTATTTACAAATAGTCAAATAATCTATTAATTTCATATATAAAAAAGAATCTTCAGCATATATTTGCTTTATCTTCGATCATAATTTTGCATACCATATTTAAAAATTTGAGAAATAACAATCATAATATCGTTCCACTTTCATTGCAATACTTAGAGATCTTGAATAAAGTGCGCTATATCCTTATATGTTTTTTTTCCTAGGAATATATGTTTAAATAATATTGTATGGTACAGTATTAAAATAGAATAATAGACTACATAACATACAAGTTTTTTATTTCTTTTGTTTTTTAAGACAAAAGAAAAAGAGAGTAATAATGATAGATAAGACCAAATTGACCAGCCAGTTAATTTTTCATTACAAAAAAAAACAAGGCAATGATTATAATATAACGAAAAATATTTACTATATGTAATCATATCAACTTCATCAGGCATTTCAGTAATTTGTACTGCAAAATGACTTTGAATTTCATTAAGAATTTTTGCATCACTTCCATCTGCAACAAATGTTATTGCCAAACATTTTGCACCAACTCCATCATCACGAGTAATCTAATATTAAATATTTTAATAAATAAAAACAAATTTTCTTTCGAACATACTCGATCAAGATAAGTGTCTGTATTTTCTGGCATATCATAATTAAATACAATATTAGCACGCGCAACATTCATACCACATTCAAATAATTTTGTTGCAACGACAATACGTGTTTGACCTTCATTAAATTTTTTATAATGTGCCAAACTAAACAAATATAATTATTTAAGTTTTCTATTATTTCAATTAAAAATAAACAAACCGTTCGTTTTCTCGTATACCAGGATGAATTTCAACAGCAGGCAAATTATTTTCATTCAATAATTTGCATAAACGTTTGCAACTTGATGCAGATTTACGAAAAATAACAGCTTGTGTGAATGGTACAACACTCAGTAAACGAAATAATTTTTTTTATTATCATCACTATTTAAAGTAACGTAATAATGTCGAACACCATGANCACTAATAACTCAAGTAAAAAAATGTTTTAAAATGCACCAAAAACGTTTTTTCGAAAAATCTCTGTATTCCTCTCAGGAACTTTTGATGGAAGATTCTTTGCGCGAAACTCCCTTATCTCATAGGGCAATTTTTGCGAAAAAACATTTTTTTATTCGAGTCATTAGAGTGTTAGGTGTTGCTTTTTAATGAATAGAATTTATTTCAATATAATGAAACTTCTCTATTAATTTGGGACCAAACTCGGATATAATTTCTATAGAAAAAGATCATTTTAGAGTATCTTTCGGCAATGATCTCAAGACCGTTCTCAGAGATCTTAGACGAATTTTAGGATAATGATGTAGTACCTAATGTGTATTCTGAAGCCATACGAGCCCAGCTTCGATCCATCGCATATTTTGAGAGATAGGCTCCTGCAAAAGTCGAGGTTTTTGTCAAAAATCATGATTTTTGTGGAAGGTCTTCCAGGCTAAAGCAACTGACTAGAGAACTCAATTTTTTACTAGAATAGTTATTCCATGAGATCTTTCTATAGCCATAATTTCAGCTGTCTAGCATGATTTATTCATGAAATATATATATATATATGCACCAAAACTCGAAAATGACGATTTTTTCGAGAAAGTGCTGCTACTTGATCAACTAATCAATAGTTCACACATGTGAACTCATCTTTCTATCACGAGTGCAACTAATCGAGTTGTATTCACAGTAAAAATTGTAAAAAAAAAAGCAATAGAATATTTTTTTTGTCGAGATACGAAGATCACAAAAAATCACAAGAATGATCGTTTTTTAGGGTACAGTGTTTTGAGAAAAATTTGAATATCTCGAGAACGAAAAAATATTTTTCAAAACAGCTTGCGCCTAAATTCTTAGAACTCTTCTCTTCATCATACATATTAAATTGAGCAGAATGTGATAATCTCGATTAAGCAAGGTTCTGTGGAAGTTGATCTTGACTTATGTGGACTGACTGATATATGATTTATTATCCTGTGCTCTACTCTTAATGGTAACTAAAAGAAATTTTTAAAATAAGAAACACAAAAGAGCACGTTAATTAATTAAAATTACATACACGAAATTGACTATAGAAGAAAATAACAATAACCATATTAATAAAATCACAAAAGAACATTGATGCATAAACATCACGAACAAATAATGTTTGTTTAAATTGACCATAAAATTTTATAATTGGTTTCATAAAATAACTGTTACTAAAAAAAACAGCAAGAAAATAATATATTATCTAAATAAAATATATATAATAAAGAAAAATAAAGCTAAAACAAAATGTAAACATGTTCAACTAATAATCTTCTATGTGAATTAAGATTTATACCTTATGTTATATATAAATCTGTTTTTAATTTATATTTATATAATATAAGAATTAATTTTTAAATTATTCACCTTTTTATTCGTGTTGTTTCTAATTGATTATTGAATTGTTGTTGTTGTTGTTGTTGTTGTTGTTCCTTATGATCAGCATCTAAAGTCATTAAATCTAAATATGTAATGAATGATATTTTAATAATATTTAAATATTCTTCTTCAAATGTATATAATCATTAGAAAACTGTTCTCCTTTGTTTTTGATCTATAGTAAAAATCATGAGAACTTTTCATGAGTAACAATATTTCAGATGCATATTGTGACGTGGGATTTTTCACGACATCACATACATAAACTCAAAGTCTCAGTAAAATGATCATAACGAAAGTTCAATGGTTTCAAAAAAAAAAAAAAAAAAAAAAAAACAAATGAAATCGAGAACCATTTTTTACGTACTGTTTGGTGTTGTTTGTGCTGATTTCCAAAGTCCAAGTTCCTAGAAGAAAAAAAAAAAAGAGTTAAAAATATAAATTTCAATAATCTTATAACTTATACTTTTAAAATCGATCTATGAAAAAATAAAGATAAAAGTAAATATAAATCGGCAATTGAAGAAGCAGTTCCTTTTCGATCAACTCCAATAATATTTATTGCAGTTAATCGATAAGCATCTGGTGCTTCAGCATTCCATAGATAATATTTAAATTGAAATACATATTTAACTACAATGATTACTTCTGTATATAATAAAACAGTATTCCAATATTTTTCTGATGGTCGTGATGATAATGTAGCCCATAGAAATATTGATAATGGTAATGGCATTGATAATAATGCACCTGATGTTATCAAATTTAGAATCATAGTTGAATAACATAAAAATTCAGATCGATACATTGAAAAATAAAATATAGAATCATATAGACGATAAAGACGTGAACGTTTACTCGAATTAATTGATTGAGATACACTTTGTTGATAAGCATTTCTGAATAAGAAAAGAAAACAATCGAAAAGAAAATCTTGAAATAAAATTTACTGATTTGATTGATCACCACCAGCCATTTGATCAATGTTGATTATTGAAGCCTTGACGAATAAATGATAGAAGATGTTTTAAAAAAGTTATTTTAAAAAGATAAAATTTACTTGATCAATATTTGTTTCCAATCGCATAAGTTCATGTTGAAAAATTTTATCATCAGATTTCATTTGAGTTAATTTTATTGAAACTTCATAATAATCACGTGAATTTCGATAAAATAAATCAATAAAATAATCAACAATAATCCAAATAATTAAATAAATTTTAGTTAAAATTATTTTTATTTTTTTTTTAGATTTTTCTTCTAATAAGAAATAAAATCATTAAAAATTTTACTATAGATATAATAATCTACCTTTAGGTTCAACAGATGTTGATTCTGCAGAAGTTGATGTAGGTAGTATAATATCAGTTGTTGTTGTTGTTGTTGTTGTTATTACTGGTAGAGAAGTTGGTGATGTTGTGGTTAATTCTTGAGTATCTGATGAAGTTCGAGGTTCTGTAAGAAATAAAAACAAATGAAAATATTCACAAGAAAATTGAACAGTAATTTTATTTTTTCTGTTTTTCAAAAAACAATTTACGTTGAGCAGTAGTATCATCAACATTTTCATCTTCATCATTTGCTGCTAAAACTTCAAGAATCTATTAAAAAGAAAAAGTAAAACATTTGTATATATTTTTTTTTTTTCATTAATAAACCTTTTCTTGAACAGCAATAGCTTCATCTTGTTTTTCTTCCTCGTCTTGTTGTTCTAATTCATATTCAAACATATAATGATCACCCGATCGAATAACTGAAATAATAAAATAAAACTTTTCTTTGATATTCATTTTAAACAAACCTTCAAAATGTTCAGATGATTCAGTTAGTATTAAAGCATCTTTATTATTCAATTGATTTAATTTTGATTGTTGTTCTTGAATACGTTCTAAACTTCGAGTTATTTTTGATAGAGTTTGTTCGTCACGTTGATGATCTTGTTCGATACGTTTACATAACATTTCATTAAATAAAGCAGCACCTTGACTAGCTAATTTAGCTTGAGAACGAAGTTCACTTATAATATGTTCCCAATAATAACTACCAAATATTCGTTTTTGCAATAATAAAAATATCATACAAACACCATCCCTATAAATTATAAAACAATTAAAAATTTCAACTGTTAAAAAGTTCTAACGAGGGAATATACACAACTATCAGACGCCTTTCGACTTTATATTATGGCTAAAAGTATGTCTCGATGAGACTAAGACAAGTCTAAAAGGATTTGGGTCTATGTTCTACGGATAAAGAGTTATACGGCTTGTCCACGTAACGCGACACTTCGCTGATCAAGTTTCGAAAAAATTTTTTTTCGAGTTGGACAAATCTGAATGAGTTACTAGATGCAGTTTTTAGCGCTGATTACGAATTTGACATTTATTTTGTAAAAAAGTTAGGTTTTAGAATCGAAAACCGGGTTTTAAACTTGTGAAAAATCATATTTTGAATTTTTTAACCAAAANCGATCGTTTCGCAGCGTTCGTTTTGGCAGATGCGAAACTCGTCAAACCGGTCAGCATTAACGCGTTTCAAAGCTATGAAGAAACGCGTTCTGAAAATGCGTTTTTTCCGCAGAAATTTACGCCATGGGCAATGACAATTTATCTTGTCGATCATGTAAAACAGATAAACTGTTTTCGTTTCTTCAAGATTTTGATTTGATTAATGAAAAGCTTCGAATCTCAGTGGAAAAATTAGAATGAGAATTAAATTTTGTTGAAATATAGAAAAATGAACTTTTCTTCAATCTCTTGACAGATTATCTGAACAAATCTTTTCGAGATCACAGGTTTTATCTATCTGGTATTTATGAATAATCATCAAAGTGGTTTTAGTACTCATTTAAAAATGAAATCGAGCCATTTCAATCTCGTAAGAACCATATTGAAAGTTTTCGTCCAAGAATCTTGAAAATCATCTTCATTGAAAAAAGAATGATACAATCAATGATAGTCTAAAGATAAATTGTTAGCGTAGAATATTGTTGTTGTATTCACCTTTCACATATACCCTTGAAAAAAAAAGTTGTAATCAATGTTTTAAATACTCCGTCGCTGTAAAAAAACAAACGTTGACTCTGAAAGCTATTGGAGTTTTCTATCACACTGTGTATTTATGTTTTTGGTGTGTGTCTGTTTGCTAGAGCTCGTCGGGTCCAGGTTCAAAAATGTTGGACCCGACGTGCTTTACTGTTGACAGAAGTACTGCATCCACGCTCTTTCCATTCCGGATTTATCTAGGAATTTGTTATATGTACAACTCGACGAGTTCTATCCAACAATACGTTCAGATTTTGTACAGTCCCATCTATAGTCTCAACAATGAGTGTGAGCTGGGACAGATCCGAGCATATCATTGGATAGAGCTGGCCAAGTTCCCAAGTCGAAATACTCGAATTTTTCTTCAGAAAATAACCGCAACACAATTCATCACAATTCATAAATTTACCAGATGATTATTTAAGAAAATCGACTATAGCTATCATTTTCCAGGGGTATATATTTCTTTTACTTGACAATAAAGACAAAAATCGTATTGTAGAATTAAGTTTTCTCTTTTTTAATGTTTCATCGATAATTTTATTTCAATCAAATTTATCGATAAAATTTAGCATGATGTTTTCAATGTTATAATTATAAGATTTACACACACACATCCAAGAGTAACAATTTTGAATCATAATGCATTATTTATCTTTACCTTATGATAGAAGATATAATGAAAAATATGACGTGGAGCTTTATATTTGGTGGTTACTAAATATGAGTATGATAACAGATTTTTGTTTTCGCCGAACGTAAAGTGATTGGGCCGACATGAGCTGATGATATCTTCTCAGTTTCTTTTCTTACATAAAAATAAAACATTAATATGCTCTAAAAGCTGATGGCCGACAAAGATTTCGATGGGAAAATGGCATGCCAAGGCTGCTGTTTACTAATTCTTCTTATACCTTTTGCGGGTGGTATTTGGTATGGTATTGAGCGTGATAAAGAAAAACATTTCATTGAAACGAAATGTTTCAAAACAAAATATGGAATTCTGACAGAATTATGTGGTTCTAATGATAAAAGTAATCGTATGCTTTCTGAATACTATTCTTGTTACAAACCATGGTGAACAGTTCTCTATAATACACAGAGTTCTACTCAAATGAGATCACTCATAGTGAAGAATACCGCGTCACGATGGTATTCAGTCGCCTTCAATGAAGTCGAAAAATATCCGGTATATAGCTAATCATCCTAAAATAAATATTATTTCATTTTAGTTTTATTTAACTTATAGATCAATAGAACAACAATTTGTTATTATGATAAACGTATTCCGAAGAAATTACAATGGGAAAGACCTAATTGCAGCACCTGCCTTTGTATTCATGATGGTTGGCATTGGCATGTACATATTAGGAGGAATATTCTGATTTTTGTGATTGCTTTTGAATCGATACTATGTGCATCATGTTGATCTCCATGATTTATAAATATGCCGAAAAATATTTGTATCACTAGCTTTGTGATGTGCAGATATTGAATGTTTTATCAGAAGTCTATGGTCACTCAAGATTCAAATTTTGAAGTTCCACTTGAAACTTTGCATACACGAAAATCTGATATATCGTTAAAACTTAATCTTCATCGATGTTTTCTACCCTGACATATGATACATTACTCGTTTACATAGACCAATCTTCGAATATTTATATTTCATGATAGAAGAAACCAAAACTGTTGAAATTTTCACTATAAACTATGCTCAATGAGAGTGTGGGTGTGGGTAGCGGAGCGGTAGGAGTGTAACAAACCCAAAACCTTGGGATTTGGCTTGGTTCTCCACTGGGGTTTGGATCTGGGTTTGAGTTTGATGTCCAATTACTTCAAACATAATGTGAATTTGTAAGATAAAATCTCAGAAGAGAGAAAAAAAGCCTAAATCGATATGAAATGACTTGGATTTGGTTTAGATTTGAATATGGGTCCTGGGTTTGGATTTCGTACTCAGATTTTATTCCTTTCTATCAGAAACGAAAATTTAGGATGATGCTAGATTGTAAACAAATCCCAAACCAAATATAGTTGAAATTCTTAGTTACATTTCGAACTGGGTCCAAATGATAGCCACAATACAAATTCATACAAGATTTATGTCTAGGACTAAATCCCAAACTTCGGAAACCAAATCTAAATTCAAATCTCTGAGAGATTCGTTGCGCCCATAGGTGGTGGTCTGGATATAGGCATGTTCAACGAATAATACATTAACATCCATATCCACACCGCCCAATAAGAATTTCCAAATTCGAACTACTCATGATGAAAATCAAGCTTTTCTGTTTCCTGTCTTGAGAATTTCTTGGAAAACTTTTGAAAATCTCTCTATGACAAACTGTTTTCCTTGGTTGACGAATTACAGAAATTTGATCGAACACACATATATGTGCAAGTCCGTTGCTATGCGTTATTGTCCGTGTAGTTGTATCAGTATAGAGGATGAAAACAACGATGCACATATTACCACATACATAGTTACATAACTGCTTCGTTTTCTATACATCTGAATTAATGATTAAAGTTCTTTTGATCTACTTTCATGAATGTGTTATAAAAAAGACAGCTCGATTGTGATAAAAACTCTACGCCGTACACTTGAGGTTGTTGGTGCAAGTCTTGACGAAAGTTTTTCTATCTATATTCACATCCACATTCACACCCCACTGCAGGTAGCATTAGTGTCACTGGATGGCATCATAGTAAGGCAACTGTCTTTCTCAGTGTTGTTTATTGTACTCCCCTCTTATATTTTCTTTTAATCTGTTGGTAATGACCTACTTTTTTTCCTCTCGTTTGTTATTGTTGTTGCGTTGTCGTTAATAATAATCATTATTACTCCTCATTGATTATTATCAATATTGCTATATGTTATTATTTATATTTATTCCTAAATAAATGTTTATCATTTGTTATATCCAATGCTCTTGATCTAAATACCACGTGGATCAATTTAGTGTAGGAGATTTATAGTGAGCTCGTGTTATTTAATGCAGACATACTCTCCCGCCTTAGTTTCTGTTTTGCCTATGTATTTTAAGTAAATTAAATTCTCCGATATAATAAATAAAGAAGTTCATAGCTAGTCCTTCAAAAGTTACCGATAGCATGTTCAGGCAGCACTTCAAAAATACACTAAGTGAATGTCATAGATTTAAAAATAAGGCTAACTTGATGTTAGCACCAAGGCATTAATCAATTGTAGTTCAAATAATGTCCCAGCATTAGCCTTAATTGTTCATGGTAATGTAAAATCATTAGCATAAATCTAATACCAATGCTGACAGAGTACGTCTAAATAAAAAAGAACGATAGCAGCCGTGGCAAGAGATAGAAAACAATAACAAATATCGTATCCTTCGAAATAATTTAACATACTAAAATAAAAATATAAATCCGTGAAACCGGCAGCTTCGGAGAAATCCTTCTATTAACAAAACGGTTGCTATAGAAACATTGTTCCAAAATTGTGTACCATACGAAGCAACGATGAAATTTTAAATCAGACAAATACCAAGAGGACACACAATAACCATAATAGAACGGTCATGAAACCCAAGCGATGAAAAGGATCCTAATTCATATAAAAAATATCAATGCCATGTGATGAATCATATGGTGGCGAGAAAATGGGACCAATGATCGATAAACATAGACAACATACTTATGCCCTGACTTCATTTTAGATGCGTCAAGTTGAATGTGTCATCGGAGCTGTACAACACCCCATGGAACGAAAATAACCATTCTTATTTGAATATATTTAGAATACTATCATTAGACATTGAATTGATTCTTCGTATTAAAATCGAATTTGAGATCTGAAGCAATTTTGAAAGCATTGCAGTAGTACTGGAACATAAAAATGCTTTCACGTTGTTGATTTTTCCAAGTAATGTTTATCGCAGACGTGTCAACATTCTGAATGTACAAACAAAGAAAAAGAAAGACTGAAGTGACAAAACATCCAAAACTGCAATCGTATTTTCAACACAGCTAGATAACTCATCAGAAGCCATTCAAGCTTATTTAACATTTTGTACGCATGAAGAATTACACAGCAGGGTGTTAGTGTGGGCGTTTTGAAGACAACTCCATCAGCACTGACAGTCAAAAGGGAAATATATACTTCTATACAACATTGCACACCCCAGTTCATCAAATATGGAAATACTCAACAAACAGACTCATGTCCATCTCCTTGTCGCTAATTTCCAATGCAGTTTTTCTGGTACTTCGTACTTTGATCAACATGCATATCGACGTCAGTCAAACAGAGATCCACACACCCACCGTCAATGAAAACATACATTTTTTGCGCAGCAGGCTAATGTTTGATTAAAAGAAAGTTGTTTTAGAGTTTTGTTTTCTTGATGTCGATGATTTTAATTCAATTGAGTAGTCTGCCTGGGAAGCCGTTTATTTTCTTCGACACAGAGAGGGATAATATTTTGGTATAAAAAGCCGTTATTATTAATGGGTGTCACAGTTTAGAAAAAATGTCTTAAAGTGGTGAGCCTCTAGCTTGTTCATGCATTCTTTTGTGTTTGTGAAACATAAAAAATCTTCGTTTAAATCTTTCCGATTGATAAATCCTGAACAATTTGTATCTCATTGTGCATGTATGAAATACTTTTCCGCATCTTCTTGGACTGATGAATTATTTGAATGAAAGTATCTTAACATACATCACATGATCCCCATGTTCTAGATCAATAAAACTAGCATGACTTCCGTCACTTGGCTCAGCCTTCTCGTCATTGTGGTGTTGGCACTTCTCACCCCATGCGACGGTCTTTATTCATGTACGTGCTACTGCTCTGGTTCTTATTACATTACTACTTCAGCAGTATTGAGTAGTTGTACAACAAGCGCGTGCAGCACTGCATGTCAAACTTATGTTTCATGCAGCGGTAGTATCACGGGGTAAGATCTTCAAATAAAGACGTTTTTGACGTAATCTCTGCAGAAGCTTACCATTGTTCTTGTAAATTCGATTTAACATGAAAAATCGATGTTTCTCAGTCTTGTGTGGGCATTGTTTACGGGAAAATAACGAATTAAGCAAAAATATGGATACCATTGTAGAGGCACATAGACTTTGCACGAAAAACTATTCTCCCATATAAAATAAAGGTTTTCAAAATAAAAAAAATATTATTAGTTGTATTATTATTGCAATCTCCTCAAATTTCAAGCTTATGATATTAAGTTCAAAAGTTTTACTTTTTCTTATTTTATTCAAGTTTGCATACTCATTGGTAGAATATCTATCCTAAACATTTCCTTAATGTGAATACCTAGTACTATTAAAGTGCAGAAGAATGAATATCAGCATACATGTCGTTACAGCAGTTGATTCGTTTCATGTTACAAGACAGCTTTTTAATCATTAATTGGAACAAGCACATGAGACAAACCGAACCATCTTATTTTAAAATTGTATCAACAGAACAGCTTTCTCGACTCTTTTAAGAAGTTTCATCTTGAGTTGAATTATGTCATTACAAAGGGACATTCGAACAACTGTATAGTGAAAATTCCTCATTCAATTAAGCGGACGGGTCTTATAGGATGGTCAAGCTATCGAGTGATAGAATTAGATCCAAACTGCCAAGCACGGACATGAACTAGGCTACATATGTGAACTTTGAAATATTTGTTTTCAATTCACTATTTTTTCTTAAATTTTAGACATAATTTGAAGATTAAATTAATATAGCGATATGTATTCTGATTTCTTGAGTGAATCAGAATTTTTCATGGTACGATTTTATGCACCTCTACATTGATATTTACACTTTCCCTTAACTCGTTAGTTTCCCATAAACGGTGCCCACAGTCTTGTATATCTTTTCATTTGTTAGCACCCTCATCCGTCAAAGTCTATTAAATCGGTAACAGGATGTTTTCGAAAACGGATGATGATGACCGTAGTTGTAGTAACATTTTAAAGCTGCTGACACTCATACTTTTCTAAAATCATTCTATTTTGCAGTGCATGCAGTGGAGCTGGCATTCAACGTGCTGGATTCATAGCGACTGGTGGAGTTGTTCTAATCGGCTACTTCGGACGTAACTTCATCATCTGAAGTTTCCAGTCCATACTATATAAGACTATATCGAACAAAACTGCTTCCTATGTATACGTACTAATTTGCTAAATTTTTAAAAATTTATCAATGCTATCCTGTAGTGTTTTTCTCTGTTTCAATTTTAATAAAGAAACGAACGCCAATTTTCTAATGAGAAATCGTACATACAGTGCTATACTCCATTTCTCACAACGACTACCATTAGAAATTTACTTTCAGAAAAATGTGGGTGTGCATGCGAAAATTCTGTTGATGTCGAAATCCACATTTCATGTCCACACACAGTGCCGAGTAAGTCATTAAGGAATAGAGACAAACATGCCTGTGTGAGAAATCCTTCATGGTCAGGCATACGCTTTATGATTCAAAGTTGTGGTACAAAAAACGAGCGGGTGTATGGAAGTGAAGAAAAGGCGAATGTATTCCGAAGAAGGTAAATATACAGTGAAATGATACATTTTTGGTGAAGTTGATGACTGTCTGATTGTAAGAAGGTTGCTGTGTGGAGTTTTTTCTTCGTTGTGATGATGTTAATGTAAACGTTTAGTCTTTCAAGATTTTCAACGACACAGAGCAATGTACCTTTTTACTGTAAAAAGCCGTCATCAATAATGAACTTCATAGTTTCGAAAAACGATTGTGGAATGTGGAGCCTCTAGCTTATTCATGTATCATTTTGCATCTGTGAGTCACCTAAAAAAACGGGGATGTCGCTGTGAGTGTGAATGAGCTTATGTGATAATTGTTATTCTCTTGGGTTCAGGAATATGAGGGACCCAAGTAATTCAGTAAGTCTCAGTGATAGGGATGATCTCCTAAGGCGAAATCTGTGTAAGTATACATGGTTGAAACTGGAAGTCTGGGTTCAAAGTTTCAGCAGTCTAAATACGATAGTTTTGTATAAGGTCTTGTAAATTAGAGCTTTATGGATCACATTGATTTCTCTGGACGAAGAGTGTCACCTTACTAGTTGAAAGTGTTTGAAATAACCTGAGCCATAGGGTGTGGCTGTGGGTGTTGGTGACAATGCTCCCTTCATTGTCATCCAAGCCCACACCTATGCCCAATTTTTTTCGTTAACTTACGCACTATTATGAGAAGAAAAAATAGTGATTCGAGTAGAGAAAATTATTCTCATTAAAAGCATGAGAAAATCAAAATTAATATCAGATTCCTAAAAATAAAGTATCTTGAAAACTCAAATACCAATTATCCCGCGTTTAACATAATATTGACGGAATAAATACCAACGTTAGGCGATTTTTATTCGTTTCGAATGGAATTATATGATTTTATTCTACTTTTGCTCTTCATTCTGACTGCAATCGTAGTGACCTTCAAGAAAATCGGGGATATAACTTTGTACTAGTGAAACTCTCTACATTCATTAACGTATTACGACTAGTATCAAAAATGATTCCTAATGTTTTTAAGATTTCGATTGATTGCTTTATTGAAATCATTAATACAACAAATATAAAACGCTTCAATACGAAGAAAAATTAATAATAATTAAAATGAAAACAAAAGGAGATGTAAAAAAAATTGTAATCAGAATAGTTATTAAAAGATCTAATCAAAGACAAATTATTTCTCTCATGCATTGATTGTCGTATTTTGATTAGTTTGGCAAAGTCATTTAGTAATTGTTTGAAAATATTTTCCAGCATTTGCTCGTCGTGTTTTGAGTCTTACTGTAAGAAGTTCATTGTTCTGTGAAAATAATTCAGGATGAAGATGAATATTGCTCAATGTTTCCTAAATTTTAAGTTTTTTTTTCGGCCAACTGTTTTAGATCGGATAAAATAATTTCTTTTAATTCAGCATTCTTGCATAAATCGGCAAATGCTGTTTCATTGCGTATTAATTGAAAATTCTTTTGAACATATTCTTCATCCGGTATTGGAATAGCTACAACAGTTGCTTCTGTCAAAATGCTATCAATAAAAATTTGTGCGACCCACCTGGAACGAATATAAAGATCTTCAAGATGTTCTGGTGCAATGTATTTTCCATGATTAAGTTTAAATATATGCTGTGTACGATCTATAATACGTAATACTCCATTAATTGTCTATTCTCCTACGTGCATCGCCTATGTGCAGCCGGCCATCTTTATCGAGGACTTCTCGAGTGTTTGCTTCGTCATTATAATACCACTTTAAACAACATTGAACTAACGGGTGACTCAGGTATAATGACGGCGCTTTGTATTTCAATTTCCATTCATTGTATACATTAAAATATACCAAAAGATGCGGCGCAAAAAAGCTCTACAATATACATAAGACCGTTTTCGCACGATCGAAATTTGATCGCTCAGCCGATTTTCAAAGCAAAACGTGTAGCTATAAGAAAAAGCGATCTAATGCAAATTATATACCTGGGTCACACCTTTTTAAGACCAACTATTGAATTTAGCTAACCTTTAAAGACACTTGATCTTCGAATCCATATTTCTCCTTGATTCATTTCACTTCGATAGATTGTACCAAGTATATCAATTAATTTAATGTCGACGCTTGAAACTGGAGAGCCTATCTTGTCAAATGACATATCAACTGGATGAGTACTTGTACCAGCAGCCAATGAATCTATTTGACTAGATCCTTCCATAATCGGTACATTGAATGCGATACGAAAAACATGCATAACATCTGGTGTGATCGATGTGGCACCTATTATCGTGACTTTTAATTCACCACCAAATAGATTTTTAACTTTACGAAATGCAAAATGTGATACAGAAGACGGCTATTCACGTAATGCTTGTCGAACAAGAAACTTTTTTACTTTAATTTTTTTCACTTCGGCCATAATTGCGTCATAAACTTTATTTGCAACACGAGATACAATCGAAGCTTGAGTTGGTTTTACAATTGAAAAGTAATGCGGAAGTTTTTCAAGTTCGGGACAACATTCTATTTGTCCACCACGTAATCAAGCTTGTAAAAATATCAATCGTTCATATATCTAAGCCATAGGTAAAAATGAACAATGTCGATCGATTAAAGACCGTTGAATATGAGCTTTATCTAAACTTATAAGGTGACATTTTGCTGTTGCTAACAGATTGCCATTATTTAATAAATCATCGACTACAAGTACTCCAGATTGAGTTCTTTTAAGGATATTTAAAATAGGGCGTGGGTAATGTGGGTTGTAATCTTCTATTAAATATTACCTACATCCAGACCCGCGCCCACCCTATGACATACCTTTTAGGCTAGACAGATATAGCTTACATGCGAAACTTTCAGATTTCCATATATTAAACATAATGATGCGAAAACTTGGAGGTGTCATGTGGCCGACGATATCATCATAACTAATTGATCTCAATAAATGATCTATAAGTAAATAAATCCCGTAGGAAAGCGAATTTCAAAAATAACTTGCTAATCTTTCCTCATGGTAACTGTAAACATGTCGTTTTATGTTGGCACAGTGACTGCAAGTGTTATTGTTTTATCCAATAGAACTCCCCCGGTTTTCGATTTGTAAGAGCAGCAATGAGATTATTACATCTGTTGCGTAATTTTAAACAACGGTAGAACAAGAGGACGCAGAAGAATAGGTAATCTGCGTAAAAGATCAATAAGACTCTTGATAATAAAAATAGTTTGTTATCGTCCTATGTAGATATATGTACATATGTTCGGTTGACTTTGCGAGAAATGAGAAACATAGTGAACATTTCTCGTACATGTTTCAATAAATATATTTGGCACAATATTTTTCAGTGTTATATTTGGTATAAAATGCATTATTTTATGTAAATCAAGTGCGCTGCGATTACTCGTTAACATGCAAAATAATATCCAAGAATTATTTATATATTTTGATCTTTGACCTGTATTGGTTGTTCATAGTTCAACGAATTGATACCGTCAAATGACAGTATAAAAAAGATCGAATGTGGTAAACGATATTCTCACTTCGAACTCATCTTCTAAGAATTGTGCATTAACTAATTGTATGGAAATAAATATATTTTACGACATCGATCACTTTTTCCTAGGCTGATTCGACAAAATATTCTCATGAAATGAAAACAAATTTGACCAGCAATACGAAATTCGAATATACTCAATTGTAGATTATTCCTACTTCACTGATTAACATGTCAATAAATCAATTCCCTGATTCTCATCGATTGTTGTTGTTTTGAATAGATTCAATGCCATTAATTTATGTAACATCTGATGCAAAATATTGGTTATTTATTCTCATTCACGTATTTAAATAATAGAAAATTGAAGAAATAGACAAAAGATAATCAAGTGTGTTTGTTGATTTCTTCAACTGATTCATTGTTCGGCTTTATCGATTGAATTTCAAATTTTAGTTGTAACTTTTGAAAAATAGAAATGGTGCGAGGGCATGAATAGCCACGTTTAGTAAAACAATCAGTCCGATAACAGTAGTCACTATATAAATAACAATTACAACGTTCAGTGCGAGAATAAATATATGACGGTGATGCCCATGCTTTCCAATTGGCTATTAAATTGCTTGCATTATGCAAAGACTCGATTATCGATTAACTGAACAGGTTAGCTACTGTTGTATTCAAACTGAAGGGCGATAATCTGACAGTGATATGAATCAGAGAACTTATCGCTGAAATGACTCATCCGGTATAATGAACGATTATTTCAAGACACAAACGATTGACGAAACATTCTGGTGTTGACTGACATATTAATTCTTGTGGCGCAAAACCAACTAACATATCCAAGATGAAAAATACTGATGGAAAATAAGGCCAATATGGCATCAATGGCACTAACGATTCAATCTAATTAAACAAATCTGAAGGTAATGAACAACTGAACGAAAATGTACAAGAACATTCTTTTATATTATTATCTGGTCTTGATAAAATATTTGTCTCATTCGATATGCTGATATAAGAACTTGGGTAAAAACTATATTTATCTATTTGTAATATACCACTTTTAATAGAATTAGTTCATAATGCCGATATAATTCGATTTTTTGCCATATTTAATCATAAAAATCGATCGTTTTGAGAAAAATCAGCACGTGTCAGTGATTTAAGTTCATCGAAAACATTACGAGATATAATACAATTTGAAACGAAGAGAATTGTTGGATCGCATCAGACAGAGCTTGCTTGAATGTACGAGAGAATAAAGCAAGTATTTGAACTTGGAACGAAACGATAGGACGAAGATCAGGTGAATAAATATTACTATTAGATAAATCCTTGTTACGAATAGCTGATCTTCGTAAGATAATGAGTCGTCATCATTGTAGAAATTTAGTACAATAATACGAGCAACGATTCGTTTGAAATTCAAACAATTTTTGTAATAAATTTTATTTATCTATCGCATGCAGATTAAGTGTAACCAGAACACGCTTTATTGTAAAAAGTTTTCTCGTTGTTTTAAAGATTTTGAACCAAACATTTTCTCTATGTATATCGAGTATCTTCAATTGAAAAAATTAAAAACTTGTAATTTCTCAAAAAAAAGCCCCAACTATTTATAATAATCTAGCGATTCTGGGTAATCTTTGGAACCACTGAACTCTGTTTATGAATATAATGCGTGCTAAAAACCATCGTGGGCGACTCTTTGTTATACAACTGATTCTACTCTAATACCCTCATTCATAATGAAGGATACCACATCAGAAAAGTATGCAGATGCCTTTCCAGAAGTCAAAGAATATCCGGTACATAGATAGTCATCATAATATAAATACTAATCCATTGTATGTCTGTTTCATTTATAGATTAATAAAACAACGGCATGTTACCATGATGAACGTATCAGGGCTCGAATCGGGCCACCCGGCCCAGCGGACCGGACAGGGTCAACGCTTTTTTTTCTGTTGGACCGGGCGGGCCGAAGATTTTGTCGGGCGGCCCGGCCCAACAACATTGTTTTTATTAAATTGTATAGATGTAATCAGGTTCAGAAATTATAACAAAATATATATTATGGAAGTGTTTATGAAATCTGTTATTTGTTCTCATTATGGTGGTTTTCACACAACAACTTTTTTTCTGTTCGTTAATTTTTTTTATTAGCTTCATTCATTGAATCCAGGACATGGTAGAAGATGTTCTTTCTGTTCGCTCCATACAAAAACCATTAATGAATAACCCTAATCTTTTCTCAGATAAATGTTGATTTTTTCTCATGTGTAATTGATTATTTTCACTGGTTCTACCTCTAGTAGTTTTTCGTGGTACTTGCTAATTTCTTTTTTCTTGATTACATTAATGATCCAATGTCATTAAATTATTGATGTACTCTTCGGAAATTTGTTTTGAAATGCGATGTTAATTTTTATAAACAGTTTTGTTGGGCCAAGGTCGGGCCATACAAAAGTGGCCCGTTTCGAGCTCTGGAACGTACTCCAAAGATCTAATTTTATATCTGTCTTTGTATACATGATAGTTGTTATTAATATATATGCATTAGATGAACTCATTTTTATACGTCACCGTGGATACCAATTTATAAAATATACAAAGAATCTTTATTCTTCGAAATATTCAGCACTCGGGCGAAGAATATTAGTTTCTAGATCACTTAATCCAGAAAAATAGAATTTAGTTTTAAAAAAAGGTGCGTTTTTGTTGATGTTAATAAGAAGAAATTGATTTCGCGGATATTGAGAGAATTTTTCATTGAGCTGTCTATGGCGCTTTTCTGTTTTTATCTTCCGCGTATATAAGCTTGTGTTGAATGGAAGATAAATACATTCTGTAGTTATTACTTAGTTTAATAAACATCAGTATCAAAGATGACGATGTTCGATTGTCGTTGCGGAATAGTTTAAAAAACGGATCTCAGTAATTTGGATATTTTTTCCAAACGATTTGCAAAAGCCATTTGAATGTGAAAGGATGCTCATTCTGAGTAACTTTACCTTCTTCGTTAAGTACGATCGAAACAAGTTTGCACTTATTCGAAGAGTTTACTTGTTTTTTAAATTAAGACTGAGAAATATTGGAATTTTCAATAGAAAAAAATAGATTTCTATTGAGTGAATCATTCTAGAATTAGGGTGTGGAATCTAAAAAGTTCAGTTGAATTGCTTTTTCTAAAAAGAACATAAAATGTTTTGATTAATCGTATACCTAAGTAATGATATTTGCAATAAGGATAAAGAATTGGAATCACTGTTTGCAATCTTAGACTACTTAGGAATAAGTATCTTTATCTGCTGTGAGTAGATTTGAGCAATATAGATTTAGAAATCCGATCATCAGACGCAAGGATCTATTCAAACAGAAAATATCCTCTTGTTTTGTTATATAAACTATAGAGTCAATACATTGACTATTATTGGTGATGTACTATTCTCTCAGCTTAAAATATCGTATTTTAACAAAGATTCGACTATATGAATCATCAAAACAATTTCCTTTATTTTTCTCAATAGTAATTCCAGTATGCAATATTATCAAGAAGAAATTCTCTTGCCATTGTATTCCGTTCACTATTTCACTTAATATAGTGATGATGCGTTTTGTAGTTTTATCTGAAATTGCTTCAATACATTTTAGTTTTCGATAACTAGAATCGATTTCAATTGACTAAACGAATGCAATATATGCCGATAGTTAATAACCAATAGGATTCATATTCGGATAGAGAAAAACGTCA